GCTTATCACAGTGAGACAAGACCTTAAGAAGCAGGAGGGAGTGGAGCACAGGGGAGTGGAGGCTGGAGCCCTAGCTTTTAATTCAGTTTTGTAAATAATACTCTACTCATAAATGGACACTGAACAACAGAATCAGCTGCTCCAACCCCGCTTTTGTAAGGAGGAGATAAGGGAAGCCCTGGAAAGAAGAGGAGCAAATGGAAGCTTCCAATTTAGGGAAAGAGACACAAATATTCTCTTATCTACATACCATGGTTTTATTCTATTTAACACTTTGGTTTACAACCTTGCAGTCCACTTGATATGTTAAGGGGAGGAGACAGATACAATATAAAGACAGAAATGCCGAAACATTAGGACCTCATTCCAGTCAACCATCAGACACGGGCAGGATGACATGTAGAGTGAATGTTTTTCAGAGAAAGTGGTCTTCAAGTCCCTAATAGGTAACTTAGGCAATTGTTATCACCAGAACCCACACATTAGAGGTCTTATGTATAGCAAAGCTAATGGAAAATAAACAATGTATTGCCCAGGTATGTGACCCCCCAAATTAGTAAATTTTAAGTCAGCTGAGAGGATTTATTTATGTTTTTCCTTGGTAACACCAAGAGAAAGGAATTAATTTTGAAGGGTCCATGATTTTACTCTGACATGTGAATTGATTCTGGGGGTTTACGAATGACATTTTATGAGAGATAAGTTTTTCCCTCAGGGATAGACAGACCTGAGTTCTAATCTCTGCTCTGTTATTTAAAAGCATTGTGATCTCACATAAATTCATCCAATGTCTTCAAAGATGAATTTCCTCAGGTGTAAAGTGAAGAATAATAAAATTAGTAATGTGACAGATTATTATATTTACTAAGGTATTCCTTCTGGAGCTAGTGAATAAATCCAAAATACTTTCCTTAGGATTAGAGAGATTTAAGGTAAAGTTAATGAGGTGTAAACTTCCGTGTTCCTTGAGTATGTCCCTTCCAAGACCCTGGAAAGGGCTTTAGTAATATATTTACATTGTTATATATTTTTTCAAAACATAAAGCTTTTTAACCACAATTAGTTAAGACCCTTTGTTTTTTCTACAGCTTCCCATGTATTCCAATACTGCTTTTGTCAGAAGTTGATAAAGTGGCCACAAGCATATTTAGAATCTAGCTAATGTGAATTTGAATTACAGATGGATTTCTTTTGGATACAGTTAGATTCAGTTTTGTAACTCACAGTTACTTTGTTGTGTATGTAGGTGTTTGCTACTAAGATTTCACAGGCTTCAAAATAGTACTAGTTATTTTACATTTACTATTTTTGCCTTTTTTTGCTAGTGATCCTTCACTAAGTCTTGGATGTCTTTAAATTGTAGTGGCGTGCTTTGACCCACTTTTCATGATTTAAACTATATCCCAACTCCCTGTCTCTCATACCTTTTTCTGGTTTCATTGCTCACTGCTGATATATGTCTGCTGTACTCTATCTAAATTGGATTCCCTACACTGATTTATGTTCTTCCTTTAGTATGAAGTGGGTTTGCCCAATCATATCTATTAAAGATTTTATTAATTTCTTTCTGATGTATCACTTATGGGGATATGTAACACAGTAATACACCAGTACAATGATGACTTTAACAACTGCAACAGTACAATCTATAGGTAGCACTTAAGATTTATTTCTCTTGATGTGCACGACTTCAATAATCTCCTCCCCTTGAGAGTTGGAAGGACCCAGAATATGATGGATGTTATTCCTATGATTAGTAAATATTACATGGCAATGATGAAGGGATTTAGCAGATGTAACTAAAGATTCTAGTCAGTTTGATTTTCATCACAAGGGAGATTATCCTTGGTAGACCTGATGTAATTGGGTGGGCTCATTAGCAGGGACCTCAAACTTTTTCTGAGGTCAGAGAGGGCTTCTAGAAGAAGCAAGCTGCCAACAGTTCTATAGCTTTTCAGAAATGAATTCTTCCAACAACTGTGTGAGTTTGGAGAAGGATCCCCACACAACAGACATGACTTTGATTTTATTTGATTCTTTAATTTCAGTCTTGAGAGACCCAGTCTAGCTGTGCCCAGACTTCTGACATATAGACAATGGTGAGGTAATAAATGGATGTGGTTTTAGGTTTCTAAGTTTCTGGTTATGTGTAACACAGCAATGGAAAGCTAATATAAAATTAATAAAGTGGTTAATAGATGTTGGTACTACCTACCATTTATTACAGTATAAGAAAACTGAAATGTAATGAAATCTTGTAGCACATAGTAACGGTGGGCATTTTCTCCAAATTGATTATACTCTTAAAAATTCATGCGACATCATCTTAATGACATATAAATATGTAAAGATGGATTGATGATGCTAAGAGTTAAGACTGTATTTTCTTTCTTTTTTCTCTACAGGAAATATTACAAATATACTCTTATGCAGTCAATTAAGAACTAGGGGTTTGATCCTTAGATCAGGGGTGGGGGGTAGGGCATGTAAAAGAAAGGATGAAAAAAACTATTGTATAAGTATGTAAAAAATAAGTAATACAATATAATGTAATTTTCTGAATTCTATGACGTTTGTGGTATTTGCTTCCCAAATTTGGTTTTCAAAATCTGTCATTTTGCTGAGTATGTTGGTGGATCCCTATAACCCAAGCACTCTGGGAGGCTGAGGCAAAAAGATAACATGTTTGACCCCGGTCTGGGCAACTTAGTGACTTAGTGAGAACTTGTCTCAAAACAAAACAAAACAAAACAAAACAAAACAAAACACTTTCCCCCAAAACCTCACACATTACAAAAAGGGCTTGGGATGTAGCCAGTGAAAGAGAGTTCAATCCTCCTACCCCAAAGTAATTTTATTTCTCATTTTAAAAATTCTTCTATGTTCTTTTTAATTCATATTTTTTTATCTTTTAAAAAAGCTGTTACGTTTATGACCTTTAAAAAACATAAATCCTCTTCGGTAAATGATAATAAAGCTTTGAATCTCAACTCTGGAATTGCCAGAAGGAAGTGAGAAAAGTTCAAACACCTCCAGATCTTCTCCTTAGCTCTCTTTGTGGCCCCTGGAGGGCGCTGTTGTGTAAACTGGAAATGGCTTTCTGCCTAATGAAATAGATTCACATAAAACTTCCTTCCTCTACAGTTTAAGGAGGAATCATCACAACACGGATATAAGGGCTAGTAATAGTAAAAAAGGAAGAATTATTGTGTACAAGAACAAGTAAGTCATTATTAGCATCTAAGAAACCACGTTTTGCTAAATACGCTATTTAATTAACAGCTCTGCCTTCTAAATATGATAGATGACTGATGACATTGTAATATGAATTGGCAACTTGTGCTCGCTTCGGCAGCACATATACTAAAAATGAATTGGCAACTTTTCCTTAAGTCCTCAACATTTGCAACTATCGTGCATGTATCTAAATACATTGTTATCATAACTTTATCTGTATCATTACCTGTACCTCTTACAAAACGTTTCTTGATCAGAGAAACATATAAAGTAAAAGCAAGATTGGGAATTCCAAAGAATAGGAGGCAATTTTTAAAAACAAAATTAGTGCTTAGATTTTTATGTACCAGAGAAAAATCTGAGCTTTAGTTTACATGTTCAAAATGATATCAAAACCATTTAATGCTATCTTTTCTTTAATATTTTTTTCTGCCCCTTTCTGGTAGCTTGATGAAAGAGAAGGTAAGAAAAAAAAGGGAAATGTAAACACAGAGGTGTAATGAGATGGGCAAGTGGGAGGAAAAGAGAGGAATTATAGGGAAAAAGGGACTCTACCAATTTCAAGCATGAGACACAGGAAGTTATTAAAAGATAAAAACCATTCAAAAATACATTGCTCAGCCAAGGTAACATGTAGCTGTTGTCTGAATTGATCCTATTTTTCTCCTCACAATTTAAGAGTCTTATTAAGATCAGTTGTTTTATCTAACCTGTAGTTATTTTTAACTGATACATACATATAAAATTAAAAATATCAATGGTGTATTATGTGATATTTAGATCATATATATAGTTTGATGTTTAAATGAGGTTAAATATCTATCTTCTTAAACTTTCATCATTTTTAAAAAATTATTTGAGATGAGATCTTGCTATGTTGCTCAGGCTAGCTTGGAACTCTTGGGCTCAAGTGATCTTCCTGTGCCAGCCTCTCAAGTAGCAGAGGTTATAAGCATGTGTCACCATGCCCAGGTAAATTAGCATTTCCTTATGGTGATAAATTTTACATTCTTTACTCTAGCTTTTTGAAGTCTATGGTCCATTATCATTATTTTTAGTCACCCTAATGTGCAATGGTACACCTGAACTTCTGCTCCTAAGTGCAACTTAGTACACACTGAATAAACTTTCCCCAACCCTCCATTTCCTCAAGGTGTAATTTCTTATACTATTATTTACTACACTTCATGGTGGTTATTCCAGGAGAATCCCAATCTACACATTCCAATAAGAAGGTAATATTATGTATATACTTTAGAGCTTTTACAACTTCATTACCTAGTATGCCTGGAATGACTGTCATATAAATTAATTCACAGGTTAATAAGGACTTGCTAGTCAGAACACACATCTCTTTTCTGGGTTTCAGTACATGTATGTACATGTCCTTTCTATGATGATCCCCGGGCCCATTAATACAGTTGAGCTGTTCTCCTTTGAAGTGCCTCCCCTTCCTTCCAAGATGTCCCCTCACACTCCTTACAACTCCAGGATTATCAGAAAATTTCCCTCTGGTAATAGGCTAATGACATTTCTCTCTCTTCTCTCCCCACCAGGCTCCACTCAGATCCTCAAAGGTCTGAGTGAGGGAGGGGCTTCCTGCACAGAGGCTGTGAGGACTCACAGTGTCTGGGCCTGGGCAGGTTCTTCAGTGGATCTGATTGGCTGCAAGAGCAGGAGCTGTTCCAAGAGGCAGGTTCTGACCCCAGTGCCCTGAGTTGACTAAGTGCATCTTAACTGAGGTAGCCAGGCCAAGAAGGGTCATGAAGAGGATCTTGAGCTCTCTGCTGGGGCTTTTGTGCATCCATGTTTGCAGTAAGTTGGCTGTCCCAAATTCAGGGCGTTGAAAGGATTTTGTAGCTGCAGCATCTGGAGGGGAGGGAGAAAAAGGAGTTTTCAAGTCTTGCAGATGTTCATCCTCCTGATACTTGGGGGCATTTTCAGTGACATCTCCTATGACTGTTTCTCTATTCTTACTCAGGTGTGAGAGGGATGCAGGTGGAGCAGAGTCCTCCAGCCCTCATCCTCCAGGAGGGAGCCAATTCCACTCTGTCGTGCAGTTTTTCTGCCTCAGTGACCACTGTGCAGTGGTTTCGCCAAGATCCTGGGGGACTCCTCAGCAGCCTGTTCTACATTCCTTCAGGGACAAAGCAGAATGGAAGATTAGAGGTCACGACAGTCCCTAAAGAACGCCACAGCTCATTGTCCATCTCCTCTTCTCAGCCCACAGACTCAGCCACTTATTTCTGTGCTGCAGCCCACAGTGCTCCCCTGGCACCTGCAGCTGCTACACAAACCCTCAGCTGGGCTCAGCCCTGCGCCAGTCACAAGCACATCAAGAGGCCACTGGAGCACCATCTTCACAATTTAGCATTTTTTTTTAACCAATAGCAGAGTCTTAAGTACATATACATTTCAGACTCATAAGTTTGGTCTTTATCTTCCATTCTCAAATTATACTTCCACCTACACAGAGATCTAACTTGGAACTAGCATAGTAGTTGATAGGAGGACTGGATCAAAATAAATATTAAAGTACAGTGTTCTGTATTCCCAGAGAATAAAAAGAAAAAGGAATAAAAAGAAAAGAAAGTCATTCAGATAGAGATGCTATTGGTGATGATGTAGCTTAGCCGTGTGTCTTTAAGCACATTCAGGTCTGTCTTATCACATTGTGTTCCCACAAGCAAGGCAAATACTTTGTCTACAGTCCATCATAGCAGGGCAGCAGATAAAAAAGAAAAAATGCACTGAATGTTCATAGGTAATAATTAGATGTCAGAGAAAATACTACGTTGCGTGTTCCACTCACCTAAGTCCTCCAAGTTCTTGAGGCTTGTTGTGGGGCTTAGGACTCAGTCTATCCCAGAGAGTGTTCCCAGCATGCCAGAGAAGAACGTGTGCCTTTTGGAGGATGTCTGCAAGGTCAACTTGTTTTATAGTGTTGCTCGTCTTTTATTTTCTTGCTGTCATTCTGTCCAGTTGTCCTATCTGTTATTGAAAGTACTGAAGTCTCAACTGTTATTGAATTGTCTGTTTCTCCCTATAGTTTTCTCAGCTTTTGCTACATGTATTTTGGGGTCTGTTGGCAGGTGCCTATATATTTGAACTGTTACATTTTCCCCAACTGACTTACTTTTTATTATTATAAATAATCCCTCTTTATCTTTAGTAACTTTGTTATTTAAAGTATATAGTAACAGCATAACAACTCCAATTTTCCTAAGGTTGCTGTTAACATGATGCAACTTTTTCTATGCTTTTAACTTATTTACATCTGCTATAGTTTTTATCTGAAATGTTCTCCAAAGGCCCATAAGTAAAAGGCTGTTTCCCAGCTTGACACTATGGTGATGTGGGACCTGGGGGGGGATTTAGTTCACTGTGGGCATACCCTTGATGAGGACTGTGGGGCACTGGGTTCTTCTCCTCTTTGTTGCCCTGTTGCCATGAGGTGAGCAGCCTCCTCCGCCATACACACCCACCATGATGACCTACCTCACCACAGACCCAAAAGCAGAGAGGCCCATCTACTGTGCTGCAGCCTTCCAAACTGATTTCTTCAGGCATTTTTTTTAGTGACAGAAGCAGACAAACAGAAAATTGTGACAGAAATCTGACTCACATACCACAGCACTCAACAATGTAAACAAAACAAAACACATTAGATTAGATTTTATTTTCATACTTTTACACATTCTAAAACATTTAAAAACTCAGTAAAACAAGGACATATTTAAGGTATCAGTTACTCATAAATTTGAATTATGAAAAAATATAAAATTATCTTTTCTCTAAAATCTTTTCTTGTCACTCCCAAGCCCTAGGATAATGGGAGGGACATGAATAGTAAAGGAAATTTAGACCATTAGGCATTGTCCAAGGACAGAGATGGATTATCAACTTGATTTCTTGAAAATGTTTTTATATTTCCACTGGATTATCTTTATTTTTCACTTTTTTATTAGTATACTTCTGATACATAATACATTTATTATGGGAAATGGTATATCTATCTATCTATCTATCTATCTATCTATCTATCTATCTATATATATATATCACTTCCTGATCTTTTTTACTTTCTTTTCTTCTCCCCTCCTCCCATCTCTGTCCATCATCAGATTGTCTTGGTCTTTGCTAAAAATTAATTGAATATGTATGTGTGAACCTATTTATACTGTGATACAATATGTGTATGGATTTATATATCTCTCACCATTACCAAACTATTTAGATTACTGCTCTTTTTACTAAGTCTTAGTAGGATCTCTTCTCTAATATTACTTTTAATAACTGTTTTGGTTACTCAGGTAGATTTGCACTTGCATATAAATTGTGCTGTCAGTTCATATTTTTATACAAAAATATATTGCAATTTTCAGTAATATTTCATTAAAAAATTTTTAAAATGGGGAATATAAAGCTACTGAGTCTTCCAGTTCATGAACATATATTTTCAGTCGTTAAGCTTTCTTTATGCTTATTGAGCAGAGGTTTTGGAGATTTTTAAGAAAAAAAGTCAGGAACTGGGAGAGATTATTTGAAACACACATGTTGTTCAAAGGATTTTTTATATAACATGAAAGAGGTCTTGAGAGGTAACCAAAATATAAATCTTAAAATGAACAAAATGAGCATATTATTCATAAATAAGATACATAAATGAGAAATAAGAAAATAAAAGGATGTTCTTCACCAGAGGCCAATACAACATGACCCATGAACCAAATCTAGCCATCTACTTATTTTATCAGCTTTCATTGGAACAAAAATGCCATTTGTTTATGTATTATGAATGGCTTCTTACATGCTCCAAATACAGAGCTGAGTATCTGCAACAGAGATCAAAAATCCTGAAAACAGAAAATATGTACTATTCAACCCTCTATGCAATAAATTTTAACCTCTATTCTGCATCATTAATTATTAAAGAAACAGCACTCTTTAATTGGTATGTGTTTCTTATAAAAAATTAAAAATAAGAAACAGACCAAGATGTATTTATAGAAGGCATAAGAAAATATTAGGAATTAAGCTTAGAGAAAACCTGCATTTTAAGAAACAAGAAAAATTGGAAATAAAGCTATAAGGATGTAAAAGGCAATTCAAAAACGACTAATAAATAGAAATGTCAGTATACATGTAAAACATCAATTCCTCAATTATCAGAGAAAATTAAAGTAAAAGAGATTGCTATGTTCTCTCAGATAAATGAAATCAAAGTTTAATAATATTAAGTGTTGACAAGAAAATAACAAGATGGATTTTTTATATTTTCAAAGATAGAAAATGAAGACCCTAAGTAGGCAGAGAACAATTATACAACCACTTAAGAGGAAAATTTGCCTAAACCGATTAAAAAGATATAAATCTGAAAACTTAGCCATTTCTATTTTTGGTATGACTATTTAAAAATGAAATGTATAGGGCCTGGAATTTAGCTCAGTGGTTCCGCCGCCTGCCTCATTAAGTGCAAGGTCCCGAGTTCAATCCCCGGTACCAAAAAAAAGACTTGTATAAACAAGGAAGCATTTCCAGGGATGCAGCCTGGGTAACATAGTAAAACTTTTTTAGTACACAGAGAAAGTGAAAAAAAATCAAATAAAGTATCCTTTAGCTTTAGGAGATATGCCACAAGAGGTTAATATATGAGCTCTCTCTGCCTCTCAAGTTTGTTTTACTTTCTTATCTAGTAGTTTGAAAAGTCAGGTCAGAAATTTGAGATAGTATTTATATCTCATTAGAGTAGTTTCTGATGGACTGAAATAGACATAATCAAATAGAGCATAATGTACAGGGTGGAGTCCATGTGCCTCAGTGCAGAGGCATTGTCAGGGATTTGTGAGGAAGAAAGAATTGGGAAGATCCTGGAACCTCAGCTGTGATTCCGTGGCTTCATAGGGAAAGTGAACTTGGGAATTTTTTACGAAGAATCAGGGAGAATCTGAAGACAGAGTGTCATGGAATAATTCAATTATTCTCATTTGAGTTTCTTTATAAGGTATAAATTTGGGAGTTTGACACAAACTCATCATCAGATGAATTTTCAGGATAAAGTGTAGGAGGATCCTCATTCATTTTATGTCCAAAGAGAGAAATATTTTGTTTTGAACAGCATTTATACCGTCAAGAATTTTGAATATCTTCGCTGATGAAACAGCATTTTGGGAGAGATTTCTGTCTTCCTGAAAACTATAACAGGGCCCCAGAACTGCTCCAAATAGTGCACTTGCACTCCTCACAGCAAGATGGCTCAATATTGGAATTTAGAAGGCCCATGATTCTCTTTTTCCAGAAACTCTCTTTTTCTCTTTTTTTTTTAATTTTAAAAATTAAGCACAGAGTCATATTATGAACATGATGACTTTGCTGCTGCCAGTGGCACTCCAAAATACAACCGGAGAGGTGTCAGAATGTTGAAGCCTGTTTGATCTTATATTTCTGATCAGACACTTGGCCATTGTGAAGTTTACAATTGCCAGGGTTTCAGGTGAGTGGGAAAAGAGGCAAAGAATTCTAGTTTGTCTCTGTAGGGAAACCAAAGATTTCTTGTTAGGATCAGATTAGAGGCAAGAGAATAATCAATCAAAACTTGAATGAGTATTTGGAATCACAACCACAATTTGTAATGTTAGTTTCTAGATAAGCCATCCAGATCTTATCACAGATTAATAGACTAAACTTGAAAAATTTCAATGGTCAATCTTCTTTAAATAAATACTATGCCTTGTACTTTTTAACATATTATCATTTGTCAATTTAATCTCAAGATAGAGCAAAACTTCCCAACCTAGGTGTCATGGCTCTTTGGATTTTGACTCATCCAGAGACCACATTTCAAAGGAAGCTGCTCCCTGCTGCCATGGGACCTGGATTGTCAGGAGCACAGGGAGCCATTTTACAGGAGGGAAATCCTGTCACCAGGCTGCTCCCAGGCTGCAGTGGGCATTCATGGTCTCCATCTGCTGAAGTACAAATAATTGCAAACCAGAACACTGGATGTCAACACTTAGAGGTGAAATGGGACAGAGGAGAACCTCAGATACTTAGAGGCTCTTCTCTATGACACTTATTGATCTGTTATTAAAACAAGAACTGGAACTGTCTTAGAGATTTTGTATGCTCTTTTCTAGGTTTCTATTTGCCATTTGGTCACTTTAGTTTAATTCATCTATTAAAAGAATGAAGGAAGGGCTGGGGATTTAGTTCAGTGGTTCCACCTCCTGCCTCACCTGCCTCAGAAGTGCAAGGACCTGAGTTCGATCCCCGGTACAAAAAAAAAAAAAACGAATGAAAGAAAAGGAAGAACAGCTAGGTTTCACGTGATCATATAGTAGGATACAAAAACATAGCCACCATTGTCAGTAGTGTTCACATGGCTGAAGTGC